TTTTGTTCCCCAGGAGACAATATTATTAGAAATAATATATGGCTGATAATATATGTTAAATATTAAAATTAAATTAAAATATATTAATTCTTTACGTGATATGCTTAAGAAAATGTAGTACCAATATTGGTCCAGAGGGAGTACTAAGCTGCAGAAGCATTGTTTCTTTTAAGCTTTAATAAGTCAGGTGAGGGCGTCACTGTAAGGTTACAAAGAAATTGTGTTCCTTGTCATACCCTACCATTATCAGGGGTATAGTGAAGATTTCACCTTGTTGGTAAGTACTATGTCAGGATACCAAAGTGCACTGACCAGGTGTTGAATGCTTTATGAAAGGTTCCAACTCAACTTTTCCCCTCCACATTCATGCACATCCTACATCCAGAACTTGAATGTGGTCTAAATGCATGGCTGGATTTGTGGACAAGCACTTCCTCGGTCCATCCTCAAGTTGTGCTGCAAGCAGCAGAAAAAGAGCTGGAGAGCAGGGGAAGGAGAAATCTAACAGTGCTCAGAGAGCTCTCAGATGCACAGAAACGGGCTGTGGAATGTTGATTGTCTGCACTTGTGCTTCCACACTCGTCATTTAAAAGGTTACCGTGTAGATGATGATAAAAGCACATTTTCTTCCTCTGCAGACAACATTTGTGCTGTGGCGACCATTGTGACTGGTGCTTGTATCAGTGATTTAGAATGGAGCTGTCAAAAACTTTAAAAAGCTTCTATGAAAGTAATGTGGTTTTATCTTGTCTAAGACCTGTGAAATTTATCAAGGAACCCAGTTTTGGCCTCCTTTTCTGATAAGATTGTGCAGCTGCACAGCTGGGCAGTCAGCTCCTCAGCCTTCTAGGAAGCCAGGTATTTGGTGGGTGGCCCAGATTTGAGAATCCCTAGAGAGCTCTCTGGAGAGTAGAGCTTATGGATGTTTGGAAACCAGTCCTTCCCTGTCGTCTTTTGGGACAGCAGTGTTACTTGGCTGCGATGAGGTGGGGTGGAGTAGCTTAGCACTAAAAATGCAAGAGCCCTGCTTCTCTTGCCTTGCAGGGTGCACATGTGTGGATTTGGTTGCAGTGTTTGCAAACGTGGCTGAATATTAAAAATTGACACGTGGTAGTTAGTTTTACTGTATCTTTTTCAGTTTATGGGTACTGAAGTTGTTATGCAGTGTTCAGAGTTTTAATGCACTGCTTTTGTTGTCTCTCAATATAATTTCAGTGCATGACACTGAAACTTTCTTTTATCCAGCTGGGCATTTGCTGCTGATGTATTGATTCCTGCTATGAAAGCAGTGTTAGCTGATACTGGCTGGAAGCAGTAGCTTGGAAATCAGATGGGGAGAGCCCCAGGAGATCCATGTTACTGCCTACCTGGTAGCCAGAATAAGAACTGTTAGAATAGTTTGGTATCTCCTTACTTCTGTAGCCCACTTCTTTTTCCTTCCCTCTAATGCTTCTTTTTGGAAAACTACTCCTTTCCCTTGGTTGTAATCACACTGCTGTGTATTACAACATTGTCAGTGACCCTGCTCAGCACCAAAACAGAAATGTGATTGCAGCTGAAGTGCTTTTGCAGGCCAAAAGGGCAGATCCTACTCACCAAATTTGTATTGTGTTAGTGCCTGACCGCTACCTTGGGGGTCATAATGTATTGCTGAAAGTTATCATCTTCTGAGCAAAGTTGAATTACTTTTACTCTTTTGAGAATTGTTGTAGTGATGTAGATGCTTTGGCCAAACTTTAAGGTAGGTAATTGCATGCTTGCTACTCAGAATTCCCACAGGAATTTCCTTCAGACGTGGAATCATTGGCTTTTTGGTCCAATGAAAAAGCAAACAGTGATGAGATTATCTTAATGCTGATGGTAGTGCAGGTGTGGAAGCACTTGATATGCCTTGCCAGCACTTCGCTGGTTAATGCAGAGAGGTTGGTGTTTGAAAATGCCCTAAAGGCAGTCAGGAAGATTCTGCTCCTAGGTAAACCCAAAACATCAGGAAAAGAGCATAACTTGAAAAACAAAGATAAGGCAGAAAAGAAGAAAAAAGAAAATGAGGCTGTACCAGTGTGTGCACTAGCTAGGGGTGAAGTGCGAATCCTGTGCTTCTGGAGGGTCTGAACAGATCGAAATACAGGGATCAAAATATCAGAAAGCGAGTAATCATTTGATAAGGAAACAATTTCTCAGTGATAACCTTCAGTCCAGACGGATCTTTGAAATCAGCCATGCTCTTTGTCACTTGACTACTTCCTTTGAGAGTGGACACTTGACCACTACCAAATAA